GACGAGCCACCTAATGGGGGTGGGGGTGGGGGTGGGGAGTGGGCTCCATCTGTTCTGCTCTGCCCTAGTCCCTCTTGGCACCCTTTGGGGAAGATCCCAGGGTGACAGTGGTACTTTCTCTCCATTTACAATGTCTGTACTGTACCCTGCTGTATTCCTGATATGGCTTTTGGTGGCTTACAGAAAAACAATGAACTATGAAATCAATAAAACAGCTAAAATTAGTAACCCTCCATTGGTGCTCCTGGGACAACGGCAACAACTGCAACTGCTATGGAATGATACCTTCTTCACGGACTCCCTGGGGCACCCACCAAGTCCCTCAGTGTTGCAAAGGGAAGGGGTGCAGTGGAGAGGAATTGCCCCCAGCAGCCCCTGGACACCTTCACTAATCAGCAGGACCTCAAGCCTTCCTTCCTGAGAGGAGCACGCGGGACGGGTCAGGCCTACTCAAAGGGGATGCATGGGAGCCAAATACTTTGAAATGTGCCTGGAAACCGTTGGAAGCCAACGCAGCATCCTAAATTTGGTGTTATGTGGCTGTAACAGCTCTCCACCAGCGTATGGGTCATTGTGTTTTGCACCAGCAATGGCCTCTGAGTTGCCTTCAGAGGCAGCAATCTAGTTTCGAGGTGATAAGGCTGTGAGTTACTGCTGCGAAGGCCTCCTGCTCCAGGGAAACCAAACAAGGCTTCATCCACAGATCCATCAGTAGCGGTGAATCTAGGAGACCCCCATATTGTGGACTTGCTGCTGCAGAGGACGTGCAATCCATTCAGAGTCAAACAGGTGCCAACAGGAAGCCAGGTGTTTGGACGAAAAGCACCCCCATCTTCAGACACTCAATCAAGACTTCGACCACATCTCTGGTGTGACCCAGGGTAGAGTTGTACAGTCAGATAATTTTAGAATATTAATGATGTGACAGATGATCTGTCCCAGTGCTTTCACGTAGATGTTAAAAAGCAGGGGAGAGAGAAACCGTCTCTGTGGTACTCCCTAAGGGAGCATCCCCTAGCCTGACCTGCTTCCCCACTGCTGCTGATGGGAACTGCCCGCTCAGGAAGGAGCAGAACCACTGCAGAACAGTACCCCACACTGAGCCCTCGCTGGCATATTCCAGAAGAACACCATGTTCAGTGGCCATTGAATCTTCTAAAACGATTACATAGTTCTGTAGAACATCATCCACCGCACAGGTCAAAGGGAATTCTGTCTCATTTCCAGGAGTGAGTCCCACCAAAAAAGATCCAGCCCAGATGACTTCACTTCATCTCGGGCACCCTGTAACAGGTGCTTTGTTGTTTTTCCTCCAAAAAAGGAGGTAGAAATGGGGCAGAAGTTGTTCCAGATGGATGGGCACCACCAGTTCCTACAAGATAGCTGATAGCACACCTTCTCCTGAAGAATGTTGACTCACTCCCAGATTCAGCCATTCAGCACCCCTGCCCCACCAGCTGCCCAAAAGAGCAAAGCGCGTCATGGGCCCAGCCCACACGTGGCAACCCTCATGTTGGAGAGCATCCAATCCACTTCCTTGGAATTCAAAAACTAAATCAAATCCCAGATAACGTTATAAGGCCTTGCCCTGGTCACTTCTTCCAACGCCACCTATGTGGAGCCCAAGCTTCAGCAAAATGTGCAAATTACTCACTGTAGCCTGTAGCTGGATCTTCGTGCCTGCACTTTCCCAACCTAGAGAGGCCTACTTTAAACAGTGCTCTGGGCAATATCCCAACAAAATAAGGGGATCCATATTGACTCCATGAAGGCTTGAACTGTGGACCTCCGTCTGATCAGATTCACTTCCAGTCTTCGTCTACTGATGCTCCAGGTGTCTTCTGTCGCTTCATCTCCTGGAGCTCTTCAGTAAACCAAGGAACTCCAAGGGAATGCTGAACAGAGAGGCTGCTCCAGAGCAGTTGCTTCTAGTTGACTTCCAGAGTTCTACTAAGCATTCAATAGAACCACTTACCAGAATCCATCTGGATCCACAAGGGACCTGGGACGAACCATCTTAATCAATCCCCTCACCCTGTGGAGGTTCCAGAAGGTGATGAGTCTCATCTGACCAAAGAGGTGAAGGACCAAGAATAAGTTCCTCCCTCTTCAGATCAAAAGCTCATTGCTGTGAAGTGAAAATGAGATCTGGTAGATGACTATAACTTGGGCCCAAAGTTAGCTGGGATGAGCTCATGGCTGCCACTGAGTTCCCCTGGATCCCTCTGCCCAGCACGTGGAGACTGAAATCGCCTAACATCATGGCATACAACTCCCCAAATACATAATTTGGAGTTAAAGGCAAACGAGAACGTGATCCCATTCAAAAACACACCTATATTGCGGTTGCATATAAAATTAAGAATCCGATTCAGTACAGTAAAAATCAATTCACCATCTGCAGGATAGTCATAACAACCCAATGGGAGTGTTGAGTGGGGAAAAATGCTCCTTCTCTTAGCTTGGAAGGGGATTTCCATGAATTCTGGTCCCCTGACCACCTTATGGGCTTAAAGGCAGGTTATAAATCATAAAAGGAAATCCATCATTGTTGATGGATTTCTTTTGCTCACTCTTCTATTTTTATTGTACTGTAATATTCTTAATGATTCACATGGGGCAGTTAAAAGGTCCTGTGATCTGAAGAACAGGATGCAAATAAATTCAGAGGGTTAGAATAATTTTAAACGAATAGCTGCAGCGGGACAGGAGAGGAGAGTCTGCCAATGGGAGGCTGCATTTAAAAGCCCTGGTGGAAGTAGCGGGTGCATCCCTGTGCCAGTTGTGCCCATGGCCAGACACCCCCCGCCCCGCTGCAGGGCTTCATCCCTGAGCGGCCCAGCAGGAAGGGGGTCTAGAGGGCATGGCTCGGACGCAAGTTTAAGGACAGCTCAGCCCAGGACCACCACAGCCAGATTGGGCCCAGGGGGAAAAACAGGCTTGGGGTGGGGGGGAGCTTTCCTCAGGAATCCCATAGGAAGGGGAAAGTGAGCCCCCCCAGCCTGAGGAACCTCCTGAAGTTGGAGCACACGTGGCGGTTGGTGAGGGTGCTGTCTTCCAAGGCCTGCAGGCAGCCAGGATGTCTCTTCCCTCGCCTCCCCATTGTGGAGCAGGCGCTGCCAGAAGGCAAGGGCAGCACCCCTCCCCGCTCCTCTGACCCACAACCACACTTGTGGCCACAACTACTCCCAGCAGCAGTGCTGTCCTGCTACAGGGCCTCCGTTGCACTCAAGCTGTCGCGCCTGCCTTTTCTCCATGCCCGCTGGCAGTGGCTTGCCTGGCGGGTCCTGGGCTGCCCTCCCTGTTGGGTTGCACTCCTGCAGGCTCCTTTGTTTGTGGGATGGTGCAGACCCCTGGGTCTCAGTGGTCAGCAGAGGCCAATCGGGTGGGGGTGGAGAGTGAGCAACGAAGTGGCAAGAGGGGCCCTGCGAGGACCAGGCTGTAGCAGGAGCCCTGCCAGGGGCACCTGTCCTCTCATGGTGGGGGCATCATTCAGAGGCAGCTGCTTCAGGGCTGAGAGCAGCATTTATCAGCCTTGGCAACTTGAAGATGTGTGGACTTCAACTCCCAGAATTGCTGCCATGCTGGCTGGGGAGTTCCAGGAGTTGAAGTCCACATATTTTTTTTATTTGATTGATTGATTGATTGATTGATTGATTGATTGGATTTATCTCCGCCCATCTCCCCCTGATGGGGGACTCTTACATCTGAATATATCTTAAGTCTTAAATATCTTAAAGTTGCCATGGTTGAGAAACACTGGCTGAGAGGATGGGTTGAGGGCAGTCTGGCACCCAGCTACGGGGCACAGGAAGGGGATGTCAGCTATTACACCAGTATTGATTGCTAAATTGGCACTTCATTTTCTAAAATTGTTGGAAATGTAACAATGTTCCATATTTGGTGGCAATGCTGTAAAAGTCAACAATTTTGGAAACAATTTATAACAGAATGAAACAAATTCTTAACGCTGAATTTCCTTTCCAACCTGCCATCTTCCAATGAAATATCGCTAAGCCTTTCACTGCCCGCAGTGTACGGAAAGGGCCTTTTATGGCAGGACACTTTACGTTTCTCACCAGAAACTATGTGCAAATCCCTCCATAACAGAACTGGCAACTCAGCAGCTAAAATAACCTCATATCCGAAAAGCCCAACTGACCCAAAATTACGTAAACGTGGAAACCATTTGGGGGCTATAGTTTCCTACATTGGTGTGTACCACATTCGAAACTTGGGTGCTGCTGAACACAAAGTCTTGATATTTAAGAGCAGATCCCCAGTGAGCTGCTAAGTAAGGATGGATCTTTCGCTGACTGGTCAGGAATCACCGCACTTCCGGTTCTGCTTCCCGGGCTCGCAGGCTGAGTTGGACTCGGCGGGCCTTTCTCGCAGCTGGCCTCCCCCGTGGTCCTGCTGGGCTTCCAGCAGCTTCTTTCGAAGCCTGAAGCCCCAGCTGGGGGGCTGAACCCTGCTTTGCCAGGGGTCCGTGGCTAATTGGGCAGCGCTCCGTGCCTGGTGGGCTGGGGAGCTGGGCACAGGCACGAAAGGCCTTGCGGTGGCCGCAAAACGCCCACTAGCCTTCCCGCCAGCCAGTGCAAGAGTGCAGATTGGGCCGTGACGGGTCGCGGCCGGGGGTCCACAGTCCTTCCCTCCTTACGTAGGGCTGGGGAGCTTCCCTTGGGGCTGCAATGGCTGTGCTTGTGGTGGCAGTGGCAGCCCGGCATCCGGATGGGGGCTGCTGCTGAGGCCCAGCACTCATCTGCTGCCTCGGGTGTGTGTGTGTGTGTGTGTGTGTGTGTGTGTGTTCCAGACAATCCTACTCAAGTGTCCAGGACAGTGCTCAGAATTCGCATCCTGGACGTGAACGACAACCCACCCGAACTGGCCACGCCCTACGAAGCCGCGGTCTGTGAGGACGCCAAGCCAGGAGAGGTGCGGAGGGTCAGCCCCCCCGCGGCCCCTTGCAGGTGGCGTTTGGGGCTGGGGCAGGGGTGCCGGGGGAGCTCTCTCAGGCCCTTCCCGGGCCCTCAGCTGCGGGCCTCTTTGCCCCTGTGGAGCTCGCGAAGCCGAGGGACCGGCTGGGGGCTGCGCTTGGGGGCAGAGCGTCCCTGCTTCCTCTGCTCATGCCGGAGGAGGTTGTGGGCCGGGCAAGGCGCTTTCTGTGCCCCCTCCTGACCGCTGGCTGCGCTTCTTCCGCAGCTGATCCAGACCCTTGGTTTGGGGGCCCGGGACGAGCCGCAGAGTGGCCACCGCTTCTATTTCACGCTAGCCCCCGAGGCCTCCG